CAACCGCCAGTAGGTGGCAGCAAGTGACTGTCTTAATGAGTGAGTTTAAATTAACCGATTCGTTTAAAAAGCTGATTCATTCAGCTGACTGTACTTATAGCCTGATTGAATCATTTGCTGGTCCGTGTAACGCTGAGGAACAAAACTGCTGTTCGGAGACGCTGCTGTTCTGCTGTTTGTTCCATTTTCTTTCTGACAGAGCAAAACTGAATGTTGTGTCTGAAAGTTACTCTGTAAGTTGTTGTTTATTGTACATTTGCGATCGTGCAGATATTCGAGAAAAAGAAAAAAAACAACAACACAGGACTCTTGTTTGTGTGATAGGCTAAGTCCTATATCATAGGCATAGCAGTTATAAAAACAGAAACTCATTAAATTGCAATTTTTTTTAATCTAAAATCATTTTGATGACATTTCTTCCCCACTGTGATGGCAGTAAGACGAGAGAGCGCTCAAAACTCAGATGATCGCATAATTTAGTGGAACATTAATATAATAATATAGAATCATCCTCTGTAAAGAAATGAGGTGTGAACATTTGAGAATGTATCTTTATCTTTCTAAATGTGCACTCTTTGGGGCTAAAGGCTTAATTGAGCGGTTTAAAATAGCCATGTGATAAACCAATCAGTGCAGACGCGATTCAATACGTGTGTCCTTTATATGTGAAATAATCATAAATACCAGTTTATGCGGTTTGATTTTGGCCTCAAAGGTCGTAGTTGTAAGCTGTAGCCCCGGCTGGCCCGTTTAGATCTTGCGTGCGCATGCAGTGGGAATGCGGCTAATAATTTCTGAATTCTGACTGGCATATAACGAACAAACCAAACAAACGTAAACAGGCAAAGGCGGGGCCCCCTACAAGGTGGGGCCCATGGACTGCAGCCCACTCAAGCCCAATGGTAAGTCCGGCCATGTCCCTGTAGCTTCCTAGTAACCGTTCAGACCTTGATTAGCTTCTTCATGCAGTGGGAATGCGGCTAATAATTTCTGAATTCTGACTGGCATATAACGAACAAACCAAACAAACGTAAACAGGCAAAGGCGGGGCCCCCTACAAGGTGGGGCCCATGGACTGCAGCCCACTCAAGCCCAATGGTAAGTCCGGCCATGTCCCTGTAGCTTCCTAGTAACCGTTCAGACCTTGATTAGCTTCTTCAGGTGTGTTCAATTAGGGTTGAAGCAAAACTCTGTAGGGCTGCAACTCTCCAGGACCGACGTTCGCCACCTCTGCTATAGTTTCTTATCTTATCCTAGTTCAGCTCATGGATCTCTCTACTAATGAGCTGATGATCTCAATCAGGTGTATTAAATAAGGAAGACGTGCAAAACATGCACAGCAGGATTGGAATTGAGAACCACTGATATATAGACAATACAGTGCATATAGGAATATTTAGAGGGCTTTCATTTTGGAATTCAGTATCAAAAAGTGAATTCAGTATCGAAAAGTCCTGATATTGTATGGAGAGACAGACCCAATAATTGTATGGGGCCTGACTTTTGTTGTATTCACAAGACAGACACACCAATCCAAACAAAACTCTGCCAGGTAAACCGAAACCTCAGGTCAAACATGTGATCCGCTTCACGTGATCCAGGTTGATGCTGCCCTGCCTATGGAAGGCCATCAGGGCCAAAAACACGTGAATTTTAACACGTCAACAACATCAGTATTTCATGCGTTTAATACATGTTGTTTGCGCGTGAAAAATCAGCGCGTTAAATACGCGTATTCAACACCTATATAACTGGTTAAATACGTGTGAAATACACGTTAAAACTAATTTTGAAAGGGTCAGTGTCATTGGCTGCTAAAGACTTGGGTCAAACCATTTCTGTGAGCTTGGGGGGCTGTACTATTCTAGGACTAGGCTACTACCATTTAACATGTTATAGAGCAGCTTATTCAGCCTATTTATGTTGTACTTTTTTGTACAGCCCATAGAAATAATATTTAAATTGCAGTTTTATGAAAAATTATATACAAATAAAATTGCCTCGTTGTCAAGGTTGTGTCACAGCAGTTTACTAGAGAGAGACCCAGATGCAGAATGATCAAGGGAGTGAGGTTTGACAAGACAAGGAACAAATGGGATGATGTGAAAGTCCAAACAGTAGGAAAGGGCAGTCTGCAGGAGAACGGCGGAGGTCAGACCTGGACAAAGTTAGGCTGGAGAACAAGGATGATAGAGCGGCCCTAGATAAGGAGAACACTGGAGATCAGGCAGCAGCTTGAGAAACCAGGGCTAGATACTTTGAGCTGTGGTGAAATCAGTCCAGTCAGATAGCCAGGTCTTGAGAACAGCAGCCAGGGGAATCAGGACACAGAACAGGAACAAACACAAGACCACAAGAGAGAACAAGCAGAAAGATAAAACTCTGACTACGCACTATGACTAGAAAGAAAAGAAAAACAAAAACAAAAGAATGAACCAGAAGGCAAAATCTAGGAATCAATAACTGAAATAAAAACAGACAAGATCAAAATAAGGAAAGAAACCAAACAAGAGGTTTGATAAAACTAGAACAAAAATAAAGACAGGAACTAGAGTAGAGTAAAATAACAAAAAGCAAAGAAAAACCTAATAAACCTCTAGAAAACCAAATGCAAAGCTAGACTGACAAGGCATGTAAAATAACACTACTAATACGACTGGAAGACTGACGAAGAATTCTCTTCATAAACTTGAATTGAATTGAAATTCTAGCTTTAACAGTGATCAAACTTAAGTTAGCATCAAAGCATTAACATTTGTGTGGGGAAATCAGTTACAGTGGAGGTAAGCAGAAAATGGTTATACAGTTAAAATATAATTTCAGAACAGCTCCAACACACCTGATCCAGCTAATCAAGCTCTTCAGGACAGTGGCCCTCCAGGAACTGAGTTTGACACCCCCTGCCCTATAAAGTCATAAGAACTGCACATATGTTGCAATCATTCACAGCTCTAAAACAACATGAGGCGGTTTTGTGAATAGAAAGTCTGTTGTACTGTAGTTCTATTGTACATGTGAGCTTTCAGTGACATCAATTTTGATTTAGAATATAAATGAATATGTTAACACACTTACCTACTTTACATTTTATCATGTAGATGATTTGTATGAATGTATGATCAAAAGTTGAATGTCAACTGGCCTGGCTCAGTCAGAGTTTGTGTTCTGTCAGTGCTTGAGGAAGGTAAAGTAACTGGGGAACTGAAAAAAATGAGCTAGCATAAATAGCACAGTCTCATTTGAGTAAACTGCTGGTTAGGTTTGAAACCCGCCACCCCCTCAACAAGGCCAACACTGAGTTGTTGCAGGGGTTTGGTTATACCTTTAAGGTCAAAGTTGACAGAGAAAGTTCATGAGCTGCTTCATGACATCAACAAAGCCTGATTGCATTGGTTTGGTTTTGTCAACTCAAAACTTTTCCTGTAACCCTGAGTTTGTTCAGCTACCTTCCTGGAATAGGTCCTTGAGCAGTTTGCAGTACAATTAGTCTTCTGTCCTAGCCTTATAGTACTTTCAGTAAGCCAATCAAGTCTGTCACATTGCTAAACCAGCATATAAACTGTCACAAGAAGCAGCCATACAATTAATTCTAGCTGTTATGAAGTGTACAATAGGCTTCTCGGTAACAATCCTGATTACTTGCAGATGCTGCATAAACTATATGTGTGTGGTTCTAAAAAAAAAAACAGTATTGTTATGTTTATATGTTTACTTAAATGTTATGAAGTGCTTTAACAAATTACCTAATCATTTCACAGATAAAATTTCAGGGTGGCCTAGGACTTTAGTACAGTAGAATACTTATGCTGTCAGGAAAGCCAAATCAAGTTCTTATACCTGTCCTGACCTGAGTACAAGCTCTCATTGTAATCCTGAAAATCTTATATAAAGTCTTAAATACCATATTTAAATACTTTAAGTCTTTAAATTCATTTAAATGGATAACATCACCTGTGTACCTAATTACGGTTTGTCAGATGAGTGCATAATCTCTGAACAAAAAGAGGTATTTTTTTCAAAGAGGTAGCACCTGCTGGCAATAGCTGTAAATGTAAGCACAAAAAAAAAAGCTCACGTTGTTTTCCAAAGACAGATATTGATTACAATGGTCTGTATCTTAAACCTGCATTGATTGCTTACCTCCACTGTAACTGATTTCCCCACACAAATGTTAATGCTAACTTAAGTTTGATCACTGTTAAAGCTAGAATGTCCACTACTGTGTTTATTTACAAAAAGGCATGAGTGTAGAAAAACGAGGCAATTTTTTAATCTAATTTTTCATAAAACTACAATTTAAATATATTATTTGTATAGGCTATACAAAAAAAAGGAAAAATTAAATAGGGTGAATAAGCTGATCTATAGCATGTTAAATGGTAGTAGCCTAATGGTACACCCCCCTAAGCTCACAGAAATGGTTTGACCCAAGTCTTCAGCAGCCAATGACACTGACCCGTTCAAATTGATTTTTAACATATTTCAGGCCTATTTAACGCATATTTAACACGTTATATAGGTGTTGAATACGGTATTTAACGCGCTGATTTTTCACGCGCAAATAACATGTATTTCACGCGTATATAAGGTGTTGTTGACATGTTAAAATTCACTGTTTTTGGCCCTTTTGACCTTCCATACATGCCGGCGTGCTTTGCATGCTGCTTCAGGTCGAGCACACGCTATTCGCTTCACGTGATCCATCCTCGGGCTCATAACTAAAGTACACCATTTTACTGTCTGCAGCCATAGCGGCAACTGTGAGGTCGACTGAAAAAGACAGAGAAATGAAGACAGTCTGTTTTGTACTCCTTTCCGTTTCATTAAGTAAGTAATGCAGAGCCTTTAAGTAGCCTAGATTGTAGAAATTACAACAGTGGTCTCAATAACTTAAAACGGGTACACACTACAATTTAATAGTCTTGTCAGATTGTACAATTGAATGGGACACATGCTAGCATAACCAAATTCACGGCATTTACTGGTTGCCATATCAACACTATAGAGAAAAAAGATGTGCCAAAATGTAAAAAATATTTTGACGATATCGCTGAATATTTATTTTACCATAGTAAAAGTAAATATTTTAACTCAGTTTTTAGTATTCATTTAAAATGAGACAAATCTGCTATTATTTTAATCTCCAATCTGTTATTTACCGGTTTAGATAGTGTGTGTGTTTTTTTAATGCTTTGTTAACTAGCAGAAGACACTAACCAGGTTTAAATTCCAGTTGCGCAGATGGGAACGTTGTAACTGCGTTGTACTAAATTTTCGCAATTAAATTACATATTTCAAATCAGCAACAAAATCTGAAATGAACTGTCCCAATGTTGTTCCTTATGCTCAAATAATGTAAAAAAAAACAAAAAACAGTTTTTCAGGGTAGACCAGCCAATGCACAAGTGAAGTCATAAGCGCAAGTTTCAGGTTTCTATGGGAACCGGAGAACTGTCTTTGTATATCTATAGTCTTTGTTATTACCAAAATTATTATTAAATTATTGTCTTTTGACATAAGAGGTAATTATACTATAAAAACATCCTGTAAGCTTCCTTTTTAGTCCAAAAACAGGTTTTATTGAAACCAAGCTACCAGAATAGCTCGTTTCGTATTTTCTCTAAAGGTGATCATACACGGGACAACTTTTTGAGCAATGTTGCCGTCAACAGGCAACGAGGTGAGACACAGTGCCCACAAACAATCTATTCAGATATAAATGTGTTGCCATTCTCAATGGGAAAGTGCCCAAAAAACATTGTTTGGCAACATTGCTCAAAAAGTTGCCCTGTTTGTGCACCTTAAGTATGGCATAATAGTGCGACAAAAGGCCATCTGTGCAGAAGAAGATCAAAGCCTACTTCTACATCATTGCTTCTTTAGCCCAGCCCACTTATTTGTGCATGTAGTAGCAGAAGAGGAAATAGGAAACAGGCAAACACAGGATTACTTGAGCAAAAAACAAAACAATAGAGATTCCTCTGAGTATTACAAGAATGTTGTGGGAAACAGCTTTAGCATTGCCTTCTTTTTAAATAAATATGATTAATTACTAATCTGTCGCAGGCTGGAGTATCCTTGGTATAGGTGTAGGTTTGTTGTCTGCTGAATTCACCAGATGCATTTCTCAACATCTCAAGTTTTATTTAGATGTGGAATGGCAGTGTACAGAAACTTATTTAAATATGCAAAACTCTTGGGCAATCATAGCAGTGGGCATTTACTTAAGTTTTGAATGCAGCAAACCTTTAGAAATAGCCTGTTTCAGAAAGAGGGTGAATGGGACAGAAAATAGCCTATTACTTCTAAATTACGATGTTTTGATGAGAAAATCTTGCTAACTTCGTAAGTGGATCTACAACTGGTGATAACTAAGTGAATAATTCATTATTGCAATATTAACTAAAGTTGAAAAAGTTGATTAAAAGCATTTTCCACAATTTTTGTATTTTGTATCTTGAATGTATTTTTAAAATGCTTCCTGTATTACAGTGAAGGACTCTGCATGCTGTTCTATGTTCTGACCTCTGATAAAGAATACTTCATTATAATATTTTTATTAGGATCTCTGTATCAGATGAGGTTTTTAATATAAAAAAAGAAAGCCATGATAAGATATATCTGTTCACAAACTTTTATCTCTTAATCTGTTTTGTCATTTGTTGAGATCAAAGTCATTTATGAATAATTTCATTCGCAAAAATAAAGTAACTTAATTTGTTTCTGCAGAGTGTGCTGATACAGATAAGGTGACGTCATTGTCTGCTATGAAGGGAGATCCTGTCACTCTAAGCACAGGTGTTACCAAACAGCAACATGATACAATGCGGTGGTATTTTAACAACACTCTCATAGCTCAGATCAATGGAGATCCCAGTAACAGTTGTTCGTATGATGGTGAAGGTGGGAGATTCAAAGACAGACTGGAGGTGGGCTTTGATTCTGGATCTCTGATCATCACTGACATCAAACCTGAACATGCTGGACGTTACGAAGCACAGATAATCAGAAGCAACAGCACAGGCACCAGCCAAAGATTGAACAGAAAGTCCAAATGTAACAGCACAAAAATCATCCCAAAAAGTAACCTTGGCGACGCCATAAAAGAATTCAATGTGACTGTCAGTGGTGAGTCACTGAAAGTTATTAACCGTCAACAATTTTTGCTTATTGAACAGTGACATTCAGACCTGTATACTCTCTTTCTTTGTAGATTAATGTCCATATCTCCATGAGGACATTTACTGAACAAACTGATTTATGTCACAGTTAGTTTTCATAATTTACACATTAAACGACAAAATCATGTTTAAAACCAAATTCAAATTCCATTGGCTTGCTTTTAGTTTAATGATTCATTGCAATGTAAAAAATATACTGTATATATATATATATATTAGTAATGAGATAATGATGAAATGAGAAGTGCATTTTTAAGGTTTACTGTTGTTTAGTCAGTAAAGTTTTTTTTTTTTGACCAAAATCTATTTTACACACACACAAAATATAAAGACATTGCAAGTGAAAAAACAACAACAATTGTTTGACTTCAAAAAGGATAACATTACATTCACTTCTTACCCTGAATTGTACACTTTAGTGGAGACATGCTTCTCTCTATTTGGTCAGTAAACAAAACCTTCTTCAATTAGATGCATCAAATTACAAACATACTTAAACTCTCCTATATATATATATATATATATATATATAATATAAGTAATTATTCAATAAACTGGTACTGTACTATAATATACACAAAGAATATCGGCCGATGTGGGCCCGGTGATGTTTTGCTTGACTCCAAAAGAGTTTATTAGGTCAGTAAACGGGAGTCCTAATGTATCATTTGTATTATCAACATGAATGTTAAAATCATGTTGACAGTTTAAAAAAAAAAAAGTAAAAATGATGATGCATTCAGGGTACAATCGATAGAGATTAAACACACACACACACACACACACACACACAATATATATAGCAGTCATTCATTTTGAATTAGCCAGACATGGTTTGAAGCACAGACAATTTGTCTTAACAGGGGAAGGAGAACTTAATTTTTATTTTTTTACTGTGGAAACGTGGGGGGAAATAATGTTTTGATAAAGGAATATTTGGTTTACACCTTCTCTTTGGACCTTTAATTGTGTCAATACATTAGAGATGTACATTGGAAAATATAAACAATGAATGTGGCATGAACACACATTCAGATTCACTCACACTAATGACTATTTATCTTTAGCTGTTTCAGGTTCAGGTCGATCTTTGGCTGCTAGAGTAGGAATATATGTTGCTGCTGTTCTGCTGGCTGCAGCTGTTGGTGGTATGATTTACTATCACTACAGACGTCCCAGAAATGGCAAGTACCACCAACAGATACTATAGTGAGAGGAAAACTTAATCTGTATTGTGCCAAATTTGTGTTTAATCGCGTGTGATCACTTTTCAAAGCAGACAAACAAGAGGTTGTGTGAAAAGTCCAAGAAAGAGGTAAGATCTGCAGTACTGTAGTAAGACTTTGTAGATTTTTTTTTTTCTGATGACCAAATCTCAGTAAAATGTACAGTACTATGCAAATGGAACTTTAAATTATTCACCAAACGATAAAATGGTCATTTATATATTTTGCCTTAGGATAGACATTTGAAAACATTAATTTTGACATTAATAATCCAATACTTTTTTGTAGGCTATGCACAAGGACTTTGGGGGGGTCCAGAGAGATCTCACCATAACTGTTTGTCTGGAATTGCAAGACAGACAAACATGATAAGTATCTGCGATTAAAAGATTACAACAAGATAACTGTCTGTCTACTCTATGAGGGGCCGTACAAGCCATAATTCATTCTGGCACTCTCACACACTTACATTCTCCCATACAGACCCACACCGCACCTGACAACAAATATTAGTGCGTGTGTGTGTTTTTGCTCCCCATGTGCTCCGTTACCCAGTTTTCTGTCTTCCGTGTATTGAGTTAATTTGTCCCAGGTGTTTCCCATGTTTATTGTCTCAGTAGTTCCAGGTGTCCCTTGTGTTCCCCTCATCAAGTCCAGTGTATTTAAAGTGTGTTCCAGTTCTTGTTCTTTGTCAGCCGTTGAACGTCATTCTGTTCTCCTGATGTGTCGAGTCCTGTGATCCCCAGCCTTTGTAAATAAAAAAACCTTTTGATTTAGTTACTCCGTGTCTCCTCGCTCCTTCGTTCCTAGTGTGTGCAACGTGACAGAACGGCTGACCAAAACAGTAAGCGGCGCAACTTCTCCCGTGTTTTGTTTTCGGTTTTGAACAGTCTTTTGTTTTCCTTTTTCCCTCGTTTGTTCTCCACGGTACGAAGACCGCCCTGCTGTGAAGTGTGCCGGCTGCGCCGTTGTCATGCCCGCCAACTGCGGCTCACCCCAGCCCGCTGGCGGCGCCAAAGACAAGCCCGCTGACCACTCAGAAGTCCAGCGCATTGGCCGCGCCGTTGTCCTGCCCACCAGCCGTGGCTATCCCCAGCCCGCTGGCCGCGCCGAAGACAAAGTCCGCCTGCCGTGACCCCCCAGTTCAGCCCAGGAAGGGTTCCTGATCCCTCGTCGAGCCTAGGAAGGGCTCCTGATCTCCCGTCAAGCCCAGGAAGGGCTCTCGATCCCCAGTTCAGCCCAGGAAGGGCTCCCGATCCCCTCCACTCCCCTGTCATGGCCGCCGTTGTGAAGTCCGCCGGCCGTGGCTCGCTCCAGGATCGTCGGCTCCAGCCCCAGAGTTCGCTCCAGTGTCGGCTTCAGCCCCAGAGCTCGCTCCAGTGTCGGCTGCTGGGGCTGCGGCCTCGGAGGCTGCTCTGCCCTGGCCTCCTGAACTGCCTGTACCACCATGTCCTCCTGTGTTCCCTACTTCGCCATGTCCTCTGGTGTTCCCTACTCCGCCATGGCGCCCAGAGCTGCCAGGTCCACCATGTAGCCCGGTCTGGAGGCCTCTAGGAGCAGGGTTATCAGACGAGAGGCCCCCAGAGCACCCACCAGTAATGTCAGACTCTGGTCCATGTTTTGTGTGTGTTTTTGCTCCCCATGTGCGCCGTTACCCAGTTTTCTGTCTCCCGTGTATTGAGTTCATTTGTCCCAGGTGTTTCCCATGTTTATTGTCTCATTAGTTCCAGGTGTCCCTTGTCTTCCCCTCATCAAGTCCAGTGTATTTAAAGTGTGTTCCAGTTCTAGTTCTTTGTCAGCCGTTGAACGTCATTCTATTCTCCTGATGTGTTGAGTCCTGTGATCCCCAGAAAAAAAGCCCAAAAAACTTTTGATTTAGTTACTCCGTGTCTCCTCGCTCCTTTGTTCCTCGTGTGTGCAATGTGACAAATGGCATCTATGCTAATATTTTATTCTTATTCCGAGGTCACCCTAGCCACCCGGATCCAGTCCGTTTCCAGATCAGATGGTCACTGCAGTCACCCGGATCCAGTCCAGATGGTGGAGCAGCACCTAGAGATGACCTCTGCAGAATATGTAACGGTATGTAAATTTCTTATCATGATTATAGTGACCAAAATTATCACGGTTATCATTATTATCACCACGGTATTTTTAAAATGTGCTAGAAATGTTCAAAAAGTATTGCCATTAATCATTTCGCCAAGTTTTATATTTAAAATCAACAAACAACAAATAAAATGACTTTTTGTTTGCATAAACACTAAAATAATAACCTTACCAATGTCCAGATTTTAAATGACAACATGACTGACAATAGTTTCAAAACTTTGAAAGGGTTTTATAAAATGGTAAAGCTCACATTTCAGCCTTTAAAAAAATAAAGAAAAAGGTTAAGTCAAAATGATAACTAATAAATTATTATATGTATTTTATGTGCTCCATAATTAATTCTAGATACATTATCCAAATAGTTTAAATGTGTAGAATCCACATAAGCTTGTTTTTCATCAACCGGTCAAAATTTACAGCAGGGCATGCAAATACGGTCCATTTTCTGGCCAGACAAAAATTGCACAAAGGCTGAATGTAAATGTAATCTCTGTAAATCCACTCTCTGAAACTAGGCGGTGCTTATGGAACAGCAAAATTACAGCTGTTTCCCGTAACCTCCGTGGACAAAGCAGCATTGTGATTACTATACTTTATACATTATTAGGTATTACATGGAGCGAGAAATGAAAACAAAATGCCATTGTATCTTTTCTGAAAACAGTCAGAACCCTATGAAGTGGTACATTCATTTAATTAATTCATATATTTATTTGTATAATTCCTCTCTTAGCACTCTTTAAAAACTCCCAGCTTTCTGCCATGTTTTCACACAAAACTAAACTACTCCGAGTGCTGTGCGCACATGAAACTGTCACTTAAATCTCTGCTTTATGCTGGATAGTATTTATTTATCCTCAGTTGTTCAAATCACGGTAATCGAATACAGTTTTAATGATAATTAAAATATAAAATGGCAATACTAACCGTGGGGAATTTTATCATGATGTATCATCTGGTAATCATTTCATCCCTACTTTACAGCAGTGGAGGCCATGTCAAATAGATGCAGGGACAGATTCCCTGCGAAGACCATGAGAACCAGACGAGTCCTCAGCACAGACCCTGTGGCCAGCTTTAACTCCATCACTATGTGATGTATTCAATCTTCAAGCAGAATGAACTGGATGGATGTTCTAAGTGATGCCAGTCCACAATCTGATTTGTGTTGCAGCCTTGAACTAAAGCGCACCATTGGTTTCATCTGGCCAGAGGAGAACTGGCCCCCCGACTGAACCTGGTTTCTCCCAAGGTTTTTTTCTCCATTCTGTCACTGATGGAGTTTTGGTTCCTTGCCGCTGTCGCCTTTGGCTTGCTTAGTTGGGGACACTTGATATTTGCACAGACACTATTTGAACTGAACTTTGCTATTGTCCTCTTTTTAGAGCTGCTTTACAGCAGGATTAATTGTGTTCGCATTACTAAAACACTATTTCTTAATAAACAGAACTGCATGCGTTTTGCAAATTATGAACACAAAGTTACGGACTGCAGCTTTAAATATAAGCCATATAAAATTCATAGATGAATTCAGTAGGTTCAGTTTTTAATTATACGGATATAAGGTGTTAGATCAGGTGTAATTTGTATTTCCAACACATTTGGGGTATTTCTGTGTACGACTAAAACAGTGCAAAGTGAAAATAGTGCAAAGCAATAAAACAAAATAAGAAAACAGTGTTATTGACCAAGTAATATGACATGGCTGGCAGTAAAGCAGGGATCTCCAAACCTCCAATCCTGGAGATCTACACACACCTGCTTTTAAGTATCAAGTAACCCTGAACACCTTAATTAGCTGGTAAAGGTGTGTTTGATTGGGGTTGGAGCTGCAGGACAGTAGATCTCCAGGGTTGGAGACTTCTGCACTTGAGAATTATGAATATTTGTCGTTTTTGCCATTTGCAACACAGTCTCCGGCCTGTCGACCCTCATCACCATGCAGTTGGAGAAAAAGAGGTACCATGTGAAACAGCCATCTCCACAGTGACCTTAAAATAAGTAAATTGTGCACATAATAACCTAATTGTAACAGAGCTTATTTGATTTTGACAATCTAATCCTTGTGGTTTGAAATGGCTACCCAATGCATTAGTTAAGGTCAGTTCTGAGTTTATGCTGCCTTCACATGCTATTGAAAAAGAAGTATTCCCCACCTCTGAAGCGGAGTTTGTTGTCGAAAAGAACAGGAATCAAGGGTGTAGGTTTGATTTTGGCATTGGTGGGGACATAACAGCAGACATTTAATTGTTCGATCAAAATTATTTCTAGGGACAATTTAGTACTTGCTGGATATTGGTAGGGACATGTCATAGCGTCTCTACTAAACTCTACGCCCTTGAAAATCATAAGCGATGTCCGGATTTGGAAACTATAGTTCTCTCCTAAAATATGAAGAGGTCAAGCAACAGATTAATGAGTTAGTAATTTCACAAAGAAGCTATGGATATAATTATAATACAAGTCAGACACTAAAGTGAGTTGCTGCTTTTGTCACTCTTCTGAGGAAGATGGCATTCACTTGTGTTGGCAATGTACCCTCACAGAGAAATTTTGGTCAGATTTTATTTTTTTAATGCTCATCCAATCTCATTTTGGAGTACTCAAAAGAGAATATATAGGTAAATATAACTTAATTGATTTGTATTTCCTGCTAGCTAAATGTCACATGCATAAACAAAAAAAATATATATTTTTTTTTATTTTTTTATTCAAAGATGATCCAGACAAGTAAACTATCCAAAGCTCTGTTAATCCTAAAGCAATCAAAGTGGCATCTCTATATTCATCCCATGTTTCCTTGTAAATTTATTACCTTTTTTTTTTTTTTTTAC